TGTATTTTCATATAGTATTTATCTTTGTATTCTCGTTTTCATGGTCTCACATGATAAAATGGAAAACATACTGCAGAAATAGAGATGATTTTGATTAGTTTCATGATGAAAACGATCTTGAAATTGAGCTCAAAGTAGCAGAAATGTTCGATCATACCTCACGTCCAATACATGTCAACTGGGGAGTCTAATATTCTTTCACTAGTGCACTGATATTATTTATACCATTTTTACAATAATGCAGTAGGCTGCATAACAGTAAATTTTGTATTTTTTGTATGAATAAAAAATCAAAATAGAAAGCAACAGTAATAAAAAAGAGGGGCCTAGAGACATGACTAACGAACAGAGGATATGTTATTTTAGTGCCAAGAATGTCTACATTGTTTATTCTGGACCCCGTTTTGAAATTGGCATCTTTTTTAATTTGCGTTAAATTGGCCAAATTGCCAATTTCTGACCACTTTATTGCTTAGTTCAAATCGGTAAATGGGCAGTTTCTTGTACTTAATTGATAGAAAAAATGATGTTCTAAAGAAATAGCTATAAGTTTGGTCAACTGGAACAATGGAATTAGTCAAAAACAGGGCTGAAAGTCGGCGAAATCGCCGATGCATATATGTCACCGAGATCGCTAACTTCGTGGGAGCCTAATTCCATGAGTTTTCGACCAAATTTTGTACTTTTGGTGTCATTACCATTGGGAAAACATTCTCTATCATTTCACAAGATTTTTTTTTGTTTTTTCCCAAAAATTTTGTGACATAGAATGACAGTTTCAGAAAGGGGCTTGCGACAGTCAAAGGGTTAACCCTTACATGGTCCAAACATATATATACGTTCTTATGCATAGCGTCGCAAACATATACATACGTTTTATTTTTCTTTCCTTCAAATTTGGCACGATTGCCTGAGATGCCTTGTCAGCATAGAATGGGTCCTAACACTTAGTGTGCGTGGTATTAAAAAAAATCTGGGACCACTTAGTACTTTGTGGGAGCGCCAGTTAAATTGAGCACCAGCTAGAGCAAACAGTGCGGCAAGCACCAAGGATTCACTGCTGTAATGTCATATTAACACTCCTCTTTTAAGAGGAAAGTGATGTTAACCCCAAGTTTAGGGTCTATCTCTGTATCTCTGTCTTCCTCTGTCTGTCTGTCTATCTCTGTCTCTATCTCTTTCAATCTGTCTCTCTTTCTATCTATCTCTGTCTCACAGGTACACATAAATACAAGTATACATAGTGTAAATTACCTAGGATAACCCCAAAAATCCAGACAAAGTGCTATACTCTGCTTGAAGATGTGAGTAAACGTGATGACAATGCAGTCTTGTGGCTCCCTCTGAGACAGAGAGCTAGACAGATAGATAGACAGGGAGCTTGACAGACACAGACAGACATGTTTGTGTACCAGTGAAAACAAAGTGAGGGCGATGCTCATCAAATATCACCTCTAACCTTTTCTTCTCTAACCTTTTCTTATCAGCTGCACCCTCCCCCACCCTCGTGTATGCTCATCAAACGTCAGCTCTTATCAGTTGTTATCTCATCTTATCATGTCACTGTCAGGGGTGGACTTTGTTTTTCAACGCTTCAAGGGGACTTATTATTACCTATTATTATTATTACGTATTCTTCTTCTTCTCCTCCTCCTCCTTCTCCTCCTCCTTCTCTTCCACCTTCTCCTTCTCCTCCTCCTCCTTCTCTTCCCCCCTCTCCTCCTCCTCCTTCTCTTCCTCCCCCTCCTCCTCCTCCTCCTCCTCCATCTCCTCCTCATCCTCTTCCTCCTCCTCCTCCTCCTCTTCATCTTTCTCTCCTCCTCCTCATTATTATATACTTCCACATATCCAAAACATTGCTGGGACATATAAATACTTTGTATATATTCCAAGACAACAGTAAACGGCTAATGCAGGTTTAAATGTCCACCTGTCAGTGTGTTTGTGACAATTTGAGTACAATTTCAGTACCTAATTCTAGTGTCAGAACAAAGATTGTTTATAAAATGACAAGAACTACTACAAATTGTAATTATCAGAACATAAAAATTACATAAAATAATATGAAAAACAGTAAAAAAGGTATATCGGCAACACTTCTGCAAGCGGCAGGACTCGATGTTGCTGTCACATGAGCATCCAGTGCCAACTTCTCGGCCTCATATCTTGGTAAGTACTGACCCTAAAATTTTTTTTATTCTAAAATACTTAAAAAAAAATGTGCTCTTTTTGTCTATAATTTTTTTTTTTTTTTCAAAATATTTGGAGCGCTGCGCGAGTGAACGTATATATATGTTTGGACGTTAACCTTAAATGGTCCAAATGTATATACAGTGGACCCCCGCATAGCGACCTTAATCCGTGCAAGAGGGCTGGCTGGGTTTTGCGAAATGTTCGCTATGTGAATGAATTTTCCCCATAAGAAATAATGGAAATCAAATTAATCGTGCAAGACACCCAAAAGTTTGAAAAAAAAAATTTTACCACATGAAATATACATTTTCCTACACACAAAGAGAAGGATACATGCACAATAGTAGAGTAGTACATGCACATATATATGTGCATGTACTACTCTACTAAATGAAGAATAAATGACACTTACCTTTATTGAAGATGCAGCAATGACTGATGAAAACACTGTGTCCTGGGAGTGCCTTTTCCTCCTGAGTACTGTAGGTCCTGTTTGGTATTTTCTTCCAGAACAGGCCTTATCACACTGTGTATGTCACTACGATTCTTAAATCTCTCAAACCAACCTTTGCTGGCTCTAAATTCACCAAAATGAGCACTAGTTCCCGGCATTTTCCCTGTTCACCTGGGTGTTAGTCGACTGGTGTGGGTTGCATCCTGGGAGACAAGATTAAGGACCCCAATGGAAATAAGTTAGACAGTCTTCGATGACACTGACTTTTTTGGGCTATCCTGGGTGGCAAATCCTCTGGGGTTAATTGTTTCTTGGTATTCTCAATAAGCCACACCAACAACGGTGCTACAGCAGCAGCAGCAGCAGCTGACGGTGGTACAGCAGCAACAGACGATGCTACAGCAGCAGCAGACGATGCTACAGCAGCAACTGACGATGTTACAGCAGCAGCAGACGATGCTACAGCAGCAACTGACGATGTTACAGCAGCAGCAGACGATGCTACAGCAGCAGCAGCAGCAGACGATGCTACAGCAGCAGCAGCAGCTGACGGTGGTACAGCAGCAACAGACGATGCTACAGCAGCAACAGACGATGCTACAGCAGCAGCAGACGATGCTACAGCAGCAACTGACGATGTTACAGCAGCAACAGACGATGCTACAGCAGCAGCAGACGATGCTACAGCAGCAGCAGACGATGCTACAGCAGCAGCAGACGATGCTACAGCAGCAGCAGATGATGCTACAGCAGCAGCAGATGATGCTACAGCAGCAGCATACGGTACTACAGCAGCAGGAGCAGCTGACGGTGGTACAGCAGCAGCAGCTGACAGTGCAGCAGCAGCTGACGGTGATACAGCAGCAGCAGCAGCTGTACCACCAATAGTAGCGATGGTTGATTGGGGTTTATTATACAACCTGGCCAGCTTGGAGACACGCACTCCACTTTCATACTTATCAATGATCTTTTTCTTCATCTCCATAGTAATTCTCACCCTTATTGCTGTAGGGTTGGCACTAGAAGCTTTCTTGGGGCCCATGGTCACTTATTTTCCAGAAAAAATCACCAAAAACACTGTAATAATACAAAATGTTCCGATTGTATGCTTGGATGTTACCGCGGAGGCTGGCTGGTAAACAATGCCACCCGTGGAACATGTGAGCGTGGCTCAGGCCGCACATTGGACGCGTCTCGGATGAAGGCCGCTGAGCGGGTTTTTGGGCGCTATGCGGGGCAAAATTTTAGCGATCAAAGCGTCCACTATGCGGATTGTCCGTTATGCAAGGCGTCCGTTATGCGGGGGTCCACTGTATACGTTTTTTCAACATCTGAAAGTATGTAAAAAAATGTAGATCTTTTTTGTTTTACATTTGAAAACGTGTAAAAAAAACTTTTATCTACATTTTATTTTTTGTTACATATGAAAATATGTTAAAAAAAGTAGATCTACTTTTGTAGCACTACGAATCTGAACATCGATTTGTTTGGACCGTTTAAGGGTTAAGGGTTAAACTGTAAGGCCTTTTCCCTAATTAAGATGAAATTAAGTGGTGCACCTTTCTTTGTCTTTTGTTCGATGCACTCAAGCAACAAGTTTACAGTTTTATTTACTTGTTATGATCTGTGTGTCATTCTTTTCATGAGATGACATCTTGGGTTATTCATTATACAAGCTCGTATATTTGCCTCGTTCTTTATAATTGTGCAAATTGACGCTTCATTAAGGTCATAGGCCCTCACTATATCCACCACACATGAGCCACTCTTAAGCTTGTCTAATACAGTGGAACCTTGAGTTCCAGCCATAATCCATTCCAGGAGCTAGGCCTAAACTCGAAATGGCTGAAAGTCGAAGCAATATTTCCCATAAGAAATAATGTAAATACAATGAATCTGTTCCAGACCCAAAAAAATATTCACAAAAAAATACAATTTTTAAAGAATAACTATAGTTTAACATGCACATAGTGTTAAATGAGTAATACAATACATAAATAAACATTTAAAATCACATTTACGTATCTTTATTGAAGACTCTTGTTGGGATCTGGAAGATAGAGAGGAGGAGAGAGGGAGGACTTACTACTGCCTCAACCACTGCCTCCACCACTGCCTCAACCACTGCTTCAACCATTGCCTCAACCACTGCCTCCACCACTCCACAACAGTCTACTGTACACTGTTTCTTTCTCTACCTGAGTTATATTTTTTTTGTCTAAGTAGTTACTTACTTTTCATATATAGAGAAATTAAAATAAAAAAAAACACTAATGTAGGGAAGTACACGTTTGTTGTCTGAGCGAGTCATATGTGATGGTCAGAAGCAGAAATTGGATTTTATAGTTGTGAATGAAAAAGAAAGTAGACTGTTGTAGTGCTACTGGTAACTTACCTTATGATTATACGAGTCAGCCAAATATACACAATCTCCAACAGTAGCCACAGCCAAAGGATGTTGTAGTTTTGCATCAATGCCAATGCCATCAACATCACCATAAGCAAACAGATCCTCCACAAATTTATAAAGAAGTTAAATTATTTTGTCAATACAGTACCATAAATATGTTCAAAGGGAATCATGCAAACATATTTTTTTCAGAACCTCTACTTTCCACTCTGAAGGAGTTGGGGGATGACACTGTAATTCGGAGAAACATTTGAAATGTGATGCATGCACTTCTGAGAAAACAGTTATTGACTAAATAATGATAAATGTGTTTCATTTTTTTGGGGGGTCATGCCATCTTGATAATATATGGTTGATATGATAAATTTTTAAACAATCTATATTAGTTATATACTCAGTAATAATGAATTTGCATTATATAAAAAAATCTGGAAAAAAGATGAAAACAAAATAATTACTTACAAGAGGATCACGAGCTGCTCCAACAACAGCCTTCACAGCACCATCTGCTAAGCTCATTCTCCTTATTGAGGAACTCTCAGAGTCAGCAATATAAAGCACTGAAGATCCTGAATGAGTGCCTACTGCGAGTCCTGAGGGCTGAGCAAATCCAGCTCGAGCAGGGTAAGAAGTATTTCTGTTCTCTTCAGCTCCACTGCCAGCTAAACGTACAACAGTTCCCTTACTGTATGAACTGGAAATTATAAAATGGGGGATATGTTCATGAAATCTAATCTATCCTTAACCCTTTCACTGTCGAGACCCCTGCTCACAAACTTGCTCTCAGTGTCGAAGAATTTCCCAAAAAATAAAAAAAAAATTTCCTTCTTATGAAATGATAGAGAATCTTTTCCAAATGGTAATGACACCAGAGTATGAAATTTGATGGAAAACTTACGGAAATACACTCTCACGAAGTTGGCAGTCTTGGCGATATACACACATCGGCAATTTCGCCCACTTTGAGCCAGTTCCATTGTTCCAGTCGACCAAACCCATAGCTATGTTGCCAGAACTCCATTTCAACTACCCATTAAAGGGGTAAAAACTGACAATTTGGCCAATCTCACACAAATTTCAGAAGATGCCAATTTCAAAACAGGGTCCAGAATAAACAATGCAGACATTCCTAGTACTAAAATAACATTTTCTCTGTTCATTAGTCACATCTCCAGGCCCCTCTTATATTACTCTTGCTTTCCATTTTGAATTTTTATTAACACAAAAAATAGAAGATTTCCTGTTATGCACACTACTGCATTATTGTAATAATTGTATAAATAACATCAACCCATTTGTGACTGCATATTAGGCTGGCCAGTTGGACACATACTGGATGGTGACGTCATTTGTTTACTCTTGAACATCTCAAAATCGAACATTTCCGCTAATCTGAGCTCAATTTCAAGGTACTTTTCATCATAAAAGCAATCAAAATCATCTCTATTTCTGTAATATATCTTCCATTCTATCAAATGAGACCAAGAAACCGAGAATATAACCATAAATACCATATGAAAATGCACCTCAAAGTTGGCATTTTAAACCAAAAACACTGTCAGAGTTTTCTTTTTCTCATTATGCACTGCGTGCTGCAGGATTTTTTTTATACTGTGCACACTGACCACACAGACCCATTCTCTCACATGTAGGTCTACCAGCTTTCTCCCACTAGATTTGAAGCCACTAGAATTTTGGTGTAATACTACAGCACCAACACTGGCTTGCAAGCCGTAGTATTATGGCACCGACAGTGAAAGGATTAAACATATGAATTAATCAACTTTACTGGGTATGTATTACTGCAGCAATGTTTATTAATTCTCATTTAAAATTTCACATTCATACAGTTACCCTCTTTTTTTTTTCAATGTACAGTAGGCCCTCAGTTTTTTTGTGAAGGCTATCTTCCTGAAATTGAAGCTACACATGATAATGCAGAGGAGGAGTGAACAACTTATGGGAAAAACTGGGTTATGTTCCAGAACACTTAAAAAAAAACCCTAACAACTTTTTATTTAATTCTTAGTCAAAATTAGGTCTTTTCTTTCTTTTTTTTTACATTTTACAGTGTAGATGTTGTTCCTTGTTGATCTAGAAATGTGTGGCAAAGTTAAGTGTTGCCTAACTAGGCCTAGTTGGATGTAGCGAGGTGTAGACACTCATTAACAAAAACAAGAAATTAGTGTTTGATTTTATTAGAGTATCATAGGTTATACCAGGGGTGGGGAACCTGTGGCCATTTACAGCATTAACTGTAGCCTTTTGAATGTAGTATTTTTCTTGAAGTTATTATTAATAATTAACTCTTTACAAAATAACTGACATTTTGCAGTATATCTAATCAAAATTTCTTATTATTACAGCTAACTTTAACCCTTTTAGGGTCCAGACCCTTGATCTGAAACTTAACCAGGGTCCAAGAATTTTCAAAAAAATTTTTGGTTATTTTTTTCTGAAGGTAATAAAACAAAAACTTATGAAATTTGATGGAAAATTGGCGAGATTACGATATTGCAAATTTTGCTGTGTCGGCGATATTTACGCATCAGCAATTTTGCCCATTTTGATTCCTATTTTAGGCCAACTGCATTGTCCAGTTGACCAAATTCTTAGCTATTTCGCTAGTATGCCTTCTATTTTATTGATCGAGCACAAAAGAATGCCCATAAACTATTTCAACTACCCAATTAAAGTGATCAGAACTGATAATTTGCCAATTTCACAATTTCAAAATGGGTTCCAACATAAACAATGCAGGCATTCCTGACACTAAAATAACATTTCCTCTGTTGCGAGTTATGTTCCAGACTTTACACATGAATTCCATTTTTATTTTTTACTGCCTCTCCTCACTTAACGATGGAGTTAGGGGTCCAAGACCCCATTGGTAAACAATTTCATTGCTAATCGAGAATCACCCCTTACTGACACTTCAAAAGTGTCCACCACCCAAAATTAAAACATTCAGCTCTATTTTCCCTGGGTGTTATATCTTGGAGATTGGTCATCCTGTGATATTTAACTATTGTAAGAGATAATGATACATCACTTAATATTATAGCGCGAAAGTCCCCTTTTATGCTAAATAGAGACTTTCGCGTTATATTATTATCTGTTAATATATAAAAATACCATGGTATTATCACTATTATTATTATTATTGTTAGGTAGGATTTCTTATGTATATAGAGCATACAAGTCTCGGAACCATCAGGTAAATTGTTCAATTGTTTATGTCCAGCTGACTGACGTTTGGGTCAGGTGATCCAACCTGATGACGGGTCAACAGACTGGCAGGTAGTCAGTCCGCTCCCTGTTCTAGCCTGACAACTGATCATATATTGGTTCTCTCTTAGGTGTATACAGTTTGAATGGGTTTGAGAATTAGGCTCTAGAGCTGACTCAGTTTGTTCCTCATTGCTCTGAAGATTGTTTTGATATTTATATTCTTGGTCAGTTCAGTAATCCATAGAGATACGTCTTCTCAGACAAACTCTTGCTTTCTACCTCCTTTACGGCTGGATTCAAAGGTCTTGTTGAATCTTGTACATTTTGGCAGTTTTGAGTTCACACAATCTTGTTAAGACAAAAACGTAAATGTTAGTGAAGACTTAATTACAGGAAGAAAAATTAATCTTCCTTATTAATGTGATATTTCCATGATTTTGAACTAAATATATATATTATTGTAAATTTATTGTACATAAAGTATTAAGATATAATATTAGGTACAGAGAGAAGATAAAGTATTGTATTTAAATACTTTAATAAATTTGAATATTATTCTATGGAGTTTCCCAGTTGAAATTTTCCCCCCTAGACTCAAAATCCCTTTAAAAAAACTCTGATCCAAATTTGTGGCCTATGAAGAAAATAGTAACGCCCAATTCTGAATTTTTCATAAAATTTTTTTATTCGCAACAAATGGGGTACCTGCCCGGGGACTCTGTTGTTCAAAGAATTTATTTTTTTATTTATTTATTTATTTTTTATTAAAAATTTGGCAAAATACAGAGGTAAAAAAAAAACAGATAAGAGCAGCATGCCAAAGCCACTTATCTATGCATAGCATTAGGGGCTGGCTTAAATTAACTAACAATGATGAAACAGTGAATCTTATTGTAAAACAGATAACTATAAAGAAAAATAGTATTAAAAAACGGGTATATGGTTGCATCATTGTTGTACATTCAGTCTATGGAGTATTCTGTTAGGAGTGTTTTTAAAAAAATAAAAAATTGAGGGGTTTTAGGTTTAACATTTTTATGAAAAATTTGGGGAAAACATTTAAGAATAAAATTTTATAAGGTTCAGTTATTCAGTATTTTTTTGGTTTTGGGTGGTAAGGATTTTTGAGAAAGACTTGAATTTATAAACAGGTGTGTTTTTTTTATATTTACAGGTAATGATTAAAGATTTTAGGGCCTTTTAGTGCATTGATTTTTTGCATAGTGTGAGGGGCCGGGGAACATCAAAGAGTGATCTGGGGCCTTGTGTTTGGTCGGGTTTCTGTTGAGGTTGGAAAGGGAGTGTTTGGGGGGAGGGTTAATATCGAGTTAAGGTTCTATGTATGTAATAGGTGCAGTAAAAAGTATGGATGTTTTGTATGGTGAGTATTTTAGTGTATTGATTTTGGGGGGAGGGCTCCCTTTAGGGAATTTTGTTATCATTCAAAATGCACCCTTTTGTTGGGTAATTGTGGTCTGAGATGGTTAATTTTTTTTTGGCCCCCTGCAAAAATTTCCCCATAGGTGAGATGGGGGTAAATAAGAGAGTGATATGGGGGCCAGGGGGCTGCTGGGGAACATAGTACCGTATCTTCGTAGTAGGCCTACAGTCTTGGAAATTTTTTAAAAATTGTTGTATATGTGTATGAAATTTGAGTCTATTATAAGGTGGATTCCTAAAAATTTTCCCCCTTTTTAGCTTTGTGATGGGATCCGTTTTCCTTTTTGTTAAGAGGGGCATCTTTGCTCTGTTCCAAACTAATGAAGTAGGTTTTGTCAATGTTTAGGTAAGTTTGTTAGTCCTCATCAGGTAGATATTTTCTGTAATTCGGTATTTTCAGTATTGGCTACGGGGGGCTCGGGTGAGAGAAGCGTATGTAGTGTCATCTGCAAAAAGTGTGGGTTTAGTAAATTTCGGAAGCATTTGGAAGGGCTTTATGTTAGGGAAAGAGAAGAGGGCCAAGGCACTTCCCCGTGGGACACCAACTGTAATTTGGTGTGCAGAAAAAGTTTGCCCCCTTTTTCGAACATATTGGCTTCTGTTGCTAGGTATGACTTGAGGGAGTTGGGGAGGCCCCTTATACCATAGTGTGACAATTTTACTGGAGCAAGTCTGGTCAATTATCAAAAGTTTAGAAGTCAATGAAAAACCCCAGTGGGACTTCTTTTTTTTTCTGTTGCAGTGATATATGTTCTAGCATGTGTATAATAAATCATTTGTATTTTTATTAGGCCCCGATCCAAATTGGCAGGGGGTTGAGTATTTTTGGGGTAGGTAGGAGCAGATTGTTTATGAATTAATTTTTCAAAGTTTTTTTTAGAGGGTGTTTGTTGGATATTGGGCCCATAGTTATTCAACTTGTTTGGTCTCCTCCTTTGTGGTCGGGGTACCCTTGTATTTTGAGTCTGTAGGGAAGGTGGGGTTCAATGGATTTGTTAAAAAGGGTTTGTTTTTGGGGGGGGG